GCCCGATCGAGGATGGTCAGCTCCCAAGCTGCTGGGAGCAGTGCGATTCCGGCAGGAATAGATCGTAGACAGATTTGCCAGCAGGAGCGACGCGCCTATCGGTCACGGCGATAGACTCGGAGGAGACGGTGGGTCGGAGAAGCGGTTGCTCAAATTCGAACCAAAAGATTTCCATCAAAATCACGCAGCAGCGGCGGTGACCGAGGAAGACGAATTCTACTCGATGGGAAGCTGAGAGGAAGAACAATTATGCCTCGTAGAGGCAATAATTTCAACAGTAATAATGATGATACCTATGGAAACGACGACGATGATCCTGATTGAGATCAAGCATTTCTTTGGAGCGAGAGTCGATCCCGAAAGTGCGGATGAAGATGGAATGAGCTTGCACGAGCTTATACGACGTTTTTTTTTCGCTGGCTGCGGTGATTGAATATGCTTTCTGATCGATCTGAGAATGGCTCGGCCGCAAGCATCGCTCTCATCATTCATGAAGCACCACCGCGTGAATCGAGGGAAGCAAATGAACGAATGAACGGTAGAATCGATGGAGACGACTAGCCGAGCGTACCCAGCCCCTTCCAAGCTGGAGTGAATCCGCCCGTATTCCGAGGGCCTCGATTCTAGGAATCCCTAGGTTGCAGCTCCCCATTCATGCCGAATAGCTGGTCTCTCAGACTAGGTTCTCGGACGCTCTTCGGGTGCCACAGCCGGTCACGTGGACATGCTTCCAGAGAGTACGCTAGTTCCAGTCGATATCTTGAGTCGAACGAGCGATTATCGAGATTGTTCCGCGGCTATTTTCTTCACAAATCGAGCTTATCTCACGTTGGAGGGACCGGAGCGGCGGATAATTTGAATCCCCTGCGGAGACCGAGGGACAGATTAAACGAGCGACTCGCTCGACACAGATCTGCTCTGTCTTATATTCCTCTTTCGGCTGTCGGCTGCAGTCTCAGATAGAGACGCGCGACGTCGACTAACCAGCCAGCTGACTAACCAGCAGCAAACCACGCGCCATCGGTGGTGCAGCAACCGTTGAGAGCAAGATGAATCGTCCGAGTCACAAAACAAACACAACGTGAAGCCCGAATCGCTCGCTCGCTTGCTTGCTCGCCCTAATCAGCTGTTTGCTGTCAGTCGATGTGCGCCCCATGTAACATGCAGAGAGCTTTCCTCTCGTGTGTCTCTCTGCTTTCGCCGACTGTAATGTGCTCGATCGAGTTTGGCTAGATTTGAATTTCCGAGGGGGAAATCTGGGTTCTCGGAATGTATTGCCGATCATGGGTTGAGGTTAGAAGCTCACGGGAATCAGACGGATGTCACGTTGGATCCCCAGAGCGATTCACCCATTCCAATCGCAGGCTTCATTGCATGAGTGGCGTCCGGTGGGATGCTCCCTAACTGAACTCGCGTATTCGTGCTGTCGAACCAGCTGGTCGGTGATCTCTGAGCTCGAGAGCATGCCTGGTTTCTTGGCGAGCGATCATTCGCCAACGACTCCTATCCAGACCTCGGCGTCTCAACTGTTTAAATAAGGCATCACGTGAAAATTTTACCTGCTGCAGAATCCAGGTCGATCATCCAAACACCGTCGATTACAGTCCAGAGAAATCCAGGGCTTGGATCAACAGCTGACTCTTCACACTTGCACGCACTCCCACACGCACCGTGAATCGGTATGAGTGCCGATTTCTCCACTGACTGACTGTCCACAGCAGGTTGTCCGGTAGTTTCACCGCGGATTCAACAGTTCATTTTGGGGTGTCACGACAAGTGACAAATCCCTCGACGCACAATTCAAATCACTAACGGCTAGGGAGCCGACTCCCTTCGAGATTTTGTCGTCTTTTCGCCGTCCTGGCTGGATTTTCAGCAAAAAAAATCGTGAACAACAGTAAAGCCAGTTGGAAAGACGGCGCGAGAATGAAGCACCGACTGGGGAAAGGGTGGTCGGAGCGAGAGCACAACGGGGTGGAGAGGGACAACGCGCGAAAGTTTGAGCTTGACGACTCACGAAGCGATGGTGTCCACGAATCCATTCATGGCTTCGAATAGTTTCAGGGCCTCCAAAACGAGCCGAACGTTTAACGAGATCTCCGAGCGAAGTTCGGAAGCCGATGAGACCAACAGATTGTTCCTGAATGTATCCTTCTCGGGTATTCGGGCGACTTGAGCGGACCCGGTGGACGACCTACCATCTGATTTCGGTCGATCACATCTTGTGCGACTCTCGCAAGCTGAGCATAGTTAGGAGCGCTCGTGAAAGTATTGAATGACTTGCTTGTTGTCTCCAGACCGCGGGGAGGGTTTCTGCCGATGCTTTGCTTTAGCGTCTATTATTTGTTTGGTTTATCTACAACATCGTATTCAGTTAACGACGGTCGGTCGACCGCTCCTATTGTGAGAGGTGTATGATTGTGGTTTGCCATAGTAGGTCAACGGTCTCCATGCTGTCACAGGGAAACAGCAGAATTGACGTCATTAGAGAAATTATCGTCTCAGCTGCGTCAAGATTGGAAAAAAGAACCAGAAGACTGACTGACGAGTTGCCTAGCTGATGACTTAAGATGGGCGTAGATCGCCCATTCGACATCCAATGAGAGGGAACGAAAAACGCGAAGCTATGCTCTCAACAGCAATAGCTGAACGGAGAGTGAATACTCTCAGAGAAGTGAAAATCACAGTCTGCGCGTACTATGCGAACACGATCTCGAAGTACTGACTTGCCCAGCTCAGCAACAGGATTTTTTTTTATCGAGCTCGATATCCGCCACCGGAGAACAAGCTCTCAGCGAACAATATTTGTTTACCCGACCAGTCGTCACCTCTACCATGGCGTTCCAGCTCACTTCATCAAATGATCACGCGTAGAGTCTATTGAATGCGGGAACTCAATGCCGGGGATTTGCTCCTACTTTAATCACAGAATTCATTTCATTCAGAAGCTCATGCTATCACGGATGATACGGGACGGCCCTCTACCTCTCGAAAATTCTCTCCGTGCTAAGACATCGGTGCTCCACGGCTCGAGTGTCCATCCGACGAAGCGCGTCAGGAAGCTCTGATAATCTTCGGGACAGGAGGTCTTTCCAATCGGAGCTACGGTGGGTTCGGAGGACCGACCTGCCGCATGGAGCTCTCCTCACATTAACATAAGGTTGCCACCACCTGAAAACCTGAATGCCTGACTGACTGACGGACGGACTGACTGACTGACTGACTGACTGACTGAGTAGCTTGGGTGGGCACTCGCACTTGCTCCGGTGCTGAACAGGCTGTCGGCGAACGGAAGTAGAAAATCCCGAACTACGTCGACGTCATTTGGTGCGCTTAGCATACGTTGGGCCCCACCCTAGTCAGAGTCGTCAGAGAAAACTTTGACCAGGGTTCGCGTAGTCATAAACACATAAAAACCAACACACGCACAACAACGGCAGCAGGATAGCGGCGTAGAGAAAAGTCATCTCGTCATTCTTCACACACGACCACGGATACGCGGAGATAAGTTTTCGAGGGCATCAAGCGACGGGCTGCCATGGGAAAGGGTATGGGAAAACCCCGGGAGAAACCATGGGGGATAACAACAACACCAACAAGGATGGGAATCGGAAGGCTCCTCACAGCCGGCAGGCAATACAGGCCGGCCGTGGTGCCTGGCTCGTTTGATAACAAGCCGAAGCCGGGCTCGGAAACAAGGAACAATAGATTAACTGATTGAGCCCCACTCACAAAAAACGCCAAACGGAGCGGAGGGTTAGAAAGTCTGCAGGGCTTGCGACAAAGAGCGAGCTGGAAAAAGTTTCAACGGGACCGAGATCGAAGGTGAGAAAAATGCGCGAATTCAGCTGACGAGAGAAAGTTGAACGGTCCGTCGGATTTCTCTCCCGCCTACCTTTATCAACCTCCCCACCGCCGCGAGCGGAGCACACCGGCAATGAGTACTCACCAGCATCAGATATATCCTCAGACTTCTTGGCGCTTTCCGTTCTCACTCAGTTCCGAATCGGGAGAACTCTGTATAGATAATATTCAGTTCAGACAGTTGCCTCTACCCAAAAGGGGCATTGTATGACATCAGGGCAATGCTCGTTCGATGCGGTATAAGTCCCAGTCGAGTTCCGTTCGCCTGCCCCTGATCTCATTCTCCCATGGATGCGGTGAAACTGCTAGAGAGCCCTTCCGGCGCATGAGCCGTCGAGCGGAGCGAAACGAATCGACCATAAACACTCATGTCAATCAGCCGAGAAAGATGAGCAATCGAAACACATTCGCTTCTCTGAATCCACTCTCTCAGCACTTGGAATCAGTGAGATGTGACCACAAGCTCCCGCATTGAGAAGCAGTGGCCTCATGACAACAATAGCAGAAAACCAGAGCGGTACATGGAAAGGAATCTCAGCTGCGGAAAGCATCTGCGCTTATCCTGCCGAGCCAGGACAAGGGGCACCTACCATAGGAGCACCTAATCAGGAGAAATGATTGAGCCGTCTGCTCGGCCGTCATCCTCAAAACCAATTTCGCCCATCCTCTCGAAGTCCCGTCTCGGCTGCCGCAGTCCCGTCTCTGGTGAGGTGTGCGTTGCATTGTGACCTTGAGCTCGATACATATTGATAAATATTGGTGCATTTAACTGTTCGCATTTCACACGTCATACGAAACCTTCCCTGAATGGTGCAGATCATATTCGTTGGTGCCCTCAGTCTGCTCGGGGTTAGACACTCCGGCTCGATCTCCCTGGAACGCTCTCCTGTGACACTCACAGACTCCACGATGACCTTTCCCGATCATGCGGAACCGAGAGTACGGGAAGACAAGCAGCGGTGGTTCAACATTTATAGAGCTCCGAACTTTAGGTGGATTATTCTAGAATATTTAATAATTTTAAGCTGATGGAGGACGCCCTAATTTTCAACGAAACAAGCTTCGAACGATGAGCCACTAAAAATAGTTCCGAGGCGCACGCTCACGTATTACATATGTTCACGCTTCATGCATACAACTCGAGCGAACATACACGCAAACATGGATGCCGCTGTCGCCGCAATCACGTTCGACGTGCACGTTCAGCGTGACGGTTGACGGCAGGAATTGTGCCTTGCAGCGATTGATTTGTTTCGTATGCTTATCAACAGTTCGGAACAAAATTGAGTTGTGCACTCAGCATGGACCGGCGGATCGTTTTGCTGCTTTTTTCACAATTCGCGCTTTGCCACGGTGAGCTGAAAACGATGACCTGGTCGAATTTGGTTTTGACACGGCAGTGAATGTCATGCTTTGCGAACGTTGTTAGCGTGAGCGTTTCGTTCAGGAGAACTTCGAGACATGATCGTGGCCGCTCAGGAGGCCGCCATAGGACTGAATGATCTCACTTCGGAAGTGGTGAAAGAAGAAGTTGGTAATTTCATCAGGACCGCCTACCGTGACGGCTGCATTCACGCAGGGTGCTGCATGGGCATCCGCAAAGAGGTGAAGAGACCTATCGATGGAGCACTGTCGCTTCTTCAATCAGAGCGTTCTCGATCTTGATCGCAACAGGAAATATTTGAGATCATTTAGTCGCCCACGGGAAGGAAACAGTGCTATGTCACAACGTTTCAGGTGCGCTTCAGCCACGATTGCCCGTCGTGGGGCTGGTACAAATGGTCTTTCAACGGGCCGATGCTGGTCGCTCACAGGCCGTTCTTTCATTCCTGCCTTGACTGCAAGGATGGCGAAGATGATTGCGCGATAATATCTTCGTCGTGCAGAGGGAAACACTCGCAGTTCTGGTATCAGCTCCTTTCTTTTCCTTCGTCTTGTCCTGTACGGATCCCTCCTCCCCTTCGGAAGACTTTTTCTCGCCCTTGAACTTCATGCGTATCCGTTGCGATCACCTCGAATCGTCCGATGCCTTCGTGATATTCCCGACACAGCGTATCCATCCTGCCAGGGAACGAGCGGCGCGCTCGTGTCCAATGTGGCTTATGAGTCGAATTGTAAATTACCCCGATCCGTCGCGAGAACTTTGTTTATTCAGTGTGTTTCGGTGTATAACGCTCAACTCCGCCTGAATTGGATGCTTTATTCACGAGCTTTGTTTGTCCGATGAGCGCTCTAGGAGTTCTCTATGTGCACTCGTTTGCTTGCCTTCCTGTTACCGCGAAAGTAGACCACCTGCCTCCCAGTCAGCTGGTGGGTGGAACAGCGTTTGGATGGCCTCGCACGCGGGAATTTGAGACCCAAAGTCTGTCTGCAAAGTTAATCAAGTTGAAATTGCAGAGCTGGCCATTGATTCGGCTGAAATTTCCCTAAATCTCGATTCGAAATGTGTGGAGACTGAAGAAAGTTTATCGGCGTAAAAGGGAACGAGTCAGTTTCTCAATCTGAGTTCTCGATTCGGGGCATTCGAGGTTCTGTCTTTGAATGCTCTGTTCCAGCATAGTCGCATGGGATCGGATGCGCAGTCTCTCTCTATCTGCTTTTCCGTGGAAGCGGCTCTGCGCGAGTCCGAGAGATGCGATATCAATCGGAACCATATAATGGCACGCGAATAACTCTATATTTACGGTGTGAAGTATCTCATTCGCGGTTTTCTCCCACTCATAGGCACCTGAACAGCACCCTGGGTTTGAAGAACTATCGCGGCGAGAACCTGTTCGTGATCGTTAATGATTTGCATCCGGATCGCTGCGTTACGGTGAACGAGGTAATTTAAGAAAAATTCTTCGATTATGACTCCCTTTCTCTCCTGCTCTCAAAGTTCGTACCGAACGGCGAACAGTCATATTTTTCCGGGAGCACGATTCCATTTTTTCCGTAAGTTGCGCAAGTGACCACAACTTCGAAGAGCGTGCAGAGGAGAGTTCTGAAGTAATTGAAGTTTCCCGCTCAGGCTTCGTCAAAGCTTCAATTGCGTCCATGCAACCCGCCGTCACAAACTCAATTGTTTTACATCACGAGGAACTGGATTCGAGATGAGAGTGGCGCGAAGTGAAGGACTTCCCCGATTGAGACCGGGAAACTTCCCTCGGCATAGGCACACATTAAATGACGATTCTTATTTGATACTGGTGTAGAATTGAATAAATGAATTCAATTCGTCGCATATAGCACATAAGATGTTGGAATTTCGTTCACGAATACGAGCTCAGTAGAAGAGCGAGGCCTCCTCACTGTGTGATTGGCTATACGACTCCTGGAGCTCATCCAGGAGGACCCGCCGACCGGGGAATGAATTCGCTCACGATAGAAGTTCGGTGACTTCGGCCCTTGAATGCATATTCCGGCGTATGATTAATCGGACCGCGGGGTGGAAGCATCAAACCTTTCGAGCGGTCATCCCACACCCTTCCACTGTGCACTTAACTGTTAGATATGACTTCAATCCATTAATCAGGGCAAGTGTAGGCTCGAATGCAGGGTGGCATGCTCTCCCCTATGTTGATTGAAACTCAGTCGGATCGGCAGTCTTTCAATCAGATGTCGAAAGTCAAGTCTTCTGATATCGCTGTTTTTTTCGAAGTGTTCCCTCGGAAGCGGTATCTCATTCGAGGCGAGTCGCTCACAACTTCGCAGGAGCAGGAAAATAAATGGCAATCGCCATTGGGCATCGCATACTCTCGGCTCAGCCTGAAAAGTACGCAAGAATCATACACGACCAACTCGTCTTGCGTGGACTGTGGCAAATACTGCATTCTGCGGAGATATCACGCCGACTCGGATCCTACTGAGTAGCGGCTTAAGCGACGTTATTTCCGGACAAGTACGAAGCCTAATACACCATCGTCATCTCTGGGCAGGTCCCAAATTGTAGCCTCGCATCAACGTTCCCTCGAAAGAGAGCTCTGGGACAAGATGACAGGGCCCGGCACGCGAGCTCGATAGGCATCGGAGTTGATATCGGTCGTATAAATTTTCTATGGAGGCTTGAGCATCAGTTTAGCCCTTGGGATCCCTAGAGTGGTTCGATGCGCTGCCCATTTTCAAGTTGATCATCACGGAGTTCGAAAGCTTCCTGGTGAACAAGGAACTCCCGTCAACAATTGCAACATCCCTCATATCTCATGATTGAGGACAGACAATGAGACGTAAATGGGAGGAGCGTATTGATGAATTCGCAATCGAAGGATAGAAATAAGAAAATGTTAAAAAGATATTTTTTTAAGATTTAGACGACAGCACCGGCGCCGCGCCGCATGTACGAATCTTGAACTCACTCCCCGGCCGCCCCCCAGTCTTCGACCAAGGCCCCGTTCGCCGCGCTCCCATTCCGTCATTCGAAGCATCTTGAGCCCATAAGAGTCGTCGCTTGATTCGACGATGGTAAGCATCGAGATCTTTTGGAAGTTCCGTCCTACCCTCTTCGACCATTGGCTGCCGGCTGCCGGACACGATACAAGCTCAGATACAGGGTACGATTCAGTCGTCCGGATACATATAAAGGGGCTGGAGCTAAAATGGTGGATGTCAATGTCACTCGGACCGGAAGAGGGCGTCACACACAATGAGGGAATGTTGCTCCTGTAGAGAGAAACGGATCAATCTCCTTCAGAATGGAACACGTCACGGCCTCCACCGGAGAGAGGCGCCGAAACGAGTAATGGGAGCTGCGACCCAGGAGCACTGCCTGCCGGCAATCTTGCGCACATTCAGGCGCACACACTTGCGCGGAGCGAATGGAGGCGAGATTACATTGATATCAGAGATAGTCTGTCAGGGAAATAGACGGCACGACGGACGAGAAGCGTTCCCCGTTGACGGATTGACATTTGCAATTGTTCTTCGCTCCAGCCTGAACAATGGAGGAGGATGGCCATCCGCGCAGACAAAGTTTGTTTTACCGATTTCATGACGGAGTATTCAGCGATTGTTCATTTCTTCGTCGACGTTTCTTATAGGAGTCAGGAGTTCTCGGACCTAAGCTCGAGGACCGGAAGGAATATGCTTGGCAAGCTTCCCGGAGAGGAGAAGCACTGATATCCTCGATCCCCGTAGGAGAAAATCTCCCAAGAAATGTTTCCGGCTCGGTCAACCGTGAGCGCTGCTCTCTCCATCGCAGATTTCACATCCCGAAGCTGCCCATAACGAATTCCTGGGAGCTATCCATATCTGGAATCCTATCGATTTCGAACGAGCGCCGCTCATTAATTACAGGGAAGCACATCGTTACGGTCTCGTCCGTCGTTCACTAGCCGGCTAAGATGTTGCCCGAGTTTTAGCTCCTGGAAACCACAGGTCGACTACATGAAGAATTTAATTTCGACTCACTGGGGCGGCGAAGAATCAAGCGGAGGAGCTCTCTAATTTCTGCTGACAACGTCGAGCATGACGCTCGAGAAGCTCCTGCCCGCGTCTGATGTGCCTCCATCGTCTTCTTCGCCCAGGTCGAGGACCTCAGATTGGTAATCAACTTATATTATATTCGCTTTACGGCACTCGTCGTTGGAGGATAGCGCCGCGCCTCCTCTCGGAGATCGCCCGAGCTCGAAAGTTGACATCGCTTTCTAGGCAGGTACATCTTTTTTTCTCTTCATTGTACGCGCTTCTCGATAACTTCAGTTCCTGTTTCTCTTTGTGCTGAAAAACTGTTCTCCCGGTGTAGAGCCGAACTCGAGCAAGCACCGAAGAGTCGGTCTATTAGTTTCAATATAAGCTTCAGTGACGGTCGTCTACGTCAGGGTTGTGATAGGCCAATGCCAGATGGAAGTAGGGCCTTCCTTTTCTGTTCCAAGAACATAAGCATTGCTATTGCCGCCGAAAGTGGAAGGATTATTTATTTCCATTAGCCGTCGGGGATAAGGGACGACACAGGCCTGGCTCACACTGAGCGAGCCAGAGCTCGGATTGCTAACCGGGAAGCCAAATCTGTTCCGCGTCACAGCGGAATTCCAACGGCACGTCGGGAGCGTCGCGTCGCCGTGGGAGAAATGAACTCGATCGTTCATCCAACTATCTCCCCAGAAAACTTATCTGCCCCGTCAACGACGACTGTATTTGAATATTCCAGAGCGCACCCTCGGGATGGTCGAGCGACCAGCGCGTCGAGGACTCCACTGGTCCCTTGCGCGGGAGGCGGCGGATCGAGAAGGTCCGCGTGAGGGTTCTAGACAGAGTCGTCGATCCGGTTCTCGTAGAAGTTTCCTCGGGGCTCTCCGTGAGATTTTTCGAAGGGGTTTTTCTGAAAGTTTTCGTGAAGGTCTCCGTCAGGGAAGTTCGATTCCGGCTCCGCAGCAAATATGCAGGTATCGGCCGAGAATTTCAATCTCTGGTTCTCGCTTCAACCTCTCCCCGTGATTAGCCTAAGTTCACGGCCGGGCTGAAAGGTTCAGCTCGGAGGGATGAGGGCTTCGGCTGTCCACACTCGATGCTCCCTGTGATGGTACTGGGCTCTCGGAGCAATCGCCATCGTCGTATGAAAGACGATGATACGCCTATGCATTGAGCTCTCTCACAAGCTTCGCGCTCGCAACTATGCCGAGATCTCACCAAGGATAAGGAAGGTTTTCCGCGTGATGAATGAATATCGATTCGGTATCAGCTGAGCAGGATTGAGGACGGCGGATCGGAGTCATCGCCGATCGATCGGGATCGGGGGGTCGGATGATGATCGACGCTACAAGCTCGGTTCGAAGGGATTTCATCCTCATCTACCGAACTTCCGGAAGTGCTCGGAAAGAACAGTTCACCTTTCTCGTGGTCGAAGTGCTTCGGTCAGCAGGTATCAATTCCTAAGTTTCTCTTTTGAAAGGATCTCGCCGCGCAGGATCGAGTTTCGCATAAATTAGCGATTCCAAACTCAATCTAGATACGCTGACTTCGATGACGCGCTGAAGAGCTTGCGGATCAAATCCGGTGCGGGTCGTTCATTCTGAAGATCCATCGAAGCGTCAGAGCCGGAAGGAAATTGCTTTTTGCGAAACCATTGTTTCTCGCGAACCTTGATGGTATTGCTAGAGCGCACGCGATGCGAAACTTGAACGAGCTTCGCCCGATTCCAAATTACCATCACTTCGGAAAAGCAGCCCGTGAGCGGCGCTCCGGATTCCCAATCTGTATTCATTCATTCCGCGGGATGTGACCTTTTCTTATTCTTTCATTGTATCGACTTTCCGCTCATCAGTTAGAAGATAGCTCCGACGTTTGTTCCCTCGACGATCGAGACCTGCATCTCCGATCTCTGCGAACGCGGTGTTTTTCGCGGCTCGTCCGCCGCCACGTTTCATTGCAGGGTACGAAAGTCGCGAACTCACCTGTCTCGGCTCTCCTTCGATCATGTTTCTCCCGTGTCTCGAGTGTAGGTCGGAGTCGAGCTTGTACTCGCCTGCTTCGAGGAAGTCACGGCGGGCGCTGCGAAAGAAGAAATTTATTCCCCTTACCGTCAGAAATACTTCCGTACATGCTCCGAGAGCAGAGCAGCCGACATCATAAATAGCTGAAGTCTTCATGCCCAGTGCGAAGGTCGTTCAGTTGCTGGCTTGTAGTATGGAGCGAATTCATCATCTCTTGTGCTTTCTCATCGGACAGAGTCGTCGCTTCTCGAGTGACCCTTTCTGTCCTCCGCTCCGGCCTTACTGCCATCATTTATCTTGACGAAAGTACGGAAGGCGAAAACGCCGTCTAAGACTTGGCTAGCGAGCGAACGAGCCGGCAAGCTATATGGCCTTGTGCTTTCTCGTACCAGAGACTCCGTGGAAGAATGAATTCTCATCTTCCACGACGACCTCCGACCCGGTCGGCTGCTCGCTGAGGACTCGAAGACGAATGCGATGCTCGGACTGGAATCTGCCGGGCGAGAGTCGTCGTATTCTTCGATTCCCGTCTGATCATCGAGGAATTACTATGAGCTATTTCCCGCTTCGAGGATCAACTGCAATACGTCTCTGGATTCACGAATGGCGTTTTTCGTCAGCCGCGGCTGCATAAGACGGCTCCGGCTCCTGGAGAAATTCTACAACCCGAGCGAACAACTCTTCATTATCCGCCGATGTTAGGATCGCCGGAGACGATTTAGAGAGAAGGAAGAGGAACGAGTCGTAGAGAGTCGAAACTGCGGTCGACAACAACGACCGGATCGGATTGTTCGTTTCCCCATTTCGAGAGTTTTCGATTCATTCCAGATC